AAACACAACAACCGCTTGTTGAAGAGCACATGCGAAACATAATTTTGTTCACGTTAACTGAGTTTTTTTTTTTACTTTCTTTCTCTAATTTTCTTTGGTATTTTAGCACAGTACTACCCAGAGCATGCAACAAAGAGTTTGTACAGGTCCGCCCCTTCATTTACTCTCTCTGGGAGAAACAAAGATATTGCTAAAAGCCAAACTCCAGGTGAGGACGGAATTTGCTATGTGCGTCATCACTGTATCTGTACTGAAAAATTTTACTAAATTTTAAGCAGTGTTGTGAAATAGTATTTGCCCCTTACAGATTTCCTGTTTTTCTTTTTTTTTTTTTTTTGTTACTCTTAAATGTTTCAGATAATCTTTCAAATTTTATAGTCAGATAATTATCTCTTCCCCTTTTAGGTCCAGCTACCTACAAACTCCCAGGTATAATTGGGACAAAAGAAATAACAAGCCCTTCATCTCCCTCCTTCACACTCATGGGCCGCACACAAAAAGGATCCTTTTTTGAGGATCTTAGAAAGGTAAAAAAAAAAAAAAGAACAGTCCCTGAAACTGATCAAAATGCCAGATTTACCATTGCTTTCTTGAACTGTGGCGTCCCTTTTCAGACTCCAGGCCCTGCTGCCTATAATCCTGCAGACCCGTATTTCTCCAGGTCAAAACCTCCACAGTGTACAATGAAAGGTCGCAATTTCCTTCCTGACAAAAATGCACAAGCACCGGGTCCAGGAACATACTATCCAGAGAAGGTAAACAGCATTTCTTGTACAAGAAACAAAGATGAAATCCTAAGCTTCCTAACACATTCTCTTTCTTCTTTACAGACAACCTTTATAAAACCAAAAGCACCCAGCGTAACCTTTGGAATTCACCATTCGCCGTACACAATCCCCTTTATTGTGAACATGGATGGTTTCTTCTAAAGAGCTGAGTTCAATAAAACTCAATAAGCAAAGAACAAGATAACTGTGATTATTTTACTCCTTTAGCTTTATTTTCGCAGCAAATTGTCTGAGTTATTAATAATACAATAACTTTACTTTGCATTGGCATTGATTTGCTCTCAATATTAATGGGCTAAGAATTTGGCTGATGAAGTAAAATTTCAGTTTAACAGCAACTGAAACTGTTACAGGGTGATTTTTTTAAATTTTATTTCATTATTTTAAGCACTTCTGAATTAGCAATGTTCATTCTACTATCAAAAAATTATAATTAAAGGTTATTTTCTTTTGTTTTTAAGTTATCCTACTACTTTTTTTTTTTTTTTTTTTTTTTTGTTTTTTTTTTTTTTTAAAAAAATTTATTTTCCCTTTT